GAGGAAGGGCAACAGCTGCCTTCCTGAGCATTTTTTTTCTTAATATTTTTGTCTCAGGAAGGTATTGGTAAGTATCCAGAAAAATAACACGTTTTGTCATGTGTCTTGCTGTCATGCAGCTATCTGCACCTAACACACCATGGGGTTTTGACTGAAGGAAAGAGATCTATTTGTATCAGCTTCTTTGTAGATGTGTTCCTAATTTCTTATCAGGTGTTTCCTTTTCATTGAATCATTTTCTAATAATCTGACTAAATCTATTTAACTAAATTCATCAGAGCACAGAGGAGTGTAGGAGTATTCCCTAGACAGAGCATAGTGTAGTTTCATTTCTCATTTTGAACACAGTTCTCTGATTTAGGGATTTAAAGTTAAAACTGAACTAGGCTGAACCTAATTGCAATTGATAAAATTAATCATATTTTCTTATGTGAGAAGTCTAGATTAAGAAAACAGTACTAAATAGTTGCCGAATCTAAACCCAAAATGTAATGACTGCCAGAAAGGAAAATTTCTCAAATGGGAAGTATTCTTCCTATGAGATGTTCAGTATTTTCTATTCTTCAGTTGCACACATACAGACAACAAAGGGATGCTAGGTAGAAGGAATGAAAAAATGTATTGTTCAGCTAGAGGATGTCTTGCACTTTTGGATAACAGCAACGGCTGCAAATCCAGGAAGGCTTGCAGGTTTTGTTTATTTTTCTCTCTTTCATGAAAGTACTCTATGAAGAAAGCAGGGCGTAATGTTTACATTCTTATATTGCAAGTATTAAATAGAGCTGTATTGATTACATGTCGCTTTAAGCAAACACAGAAGGAAAATTGAACAGACATTGTGGCTGCGTGCCTTGGAGTTAGTCCTGTGAGTTACAAATTGCAGCTTTGCCTTTGGAAAACATGAATCAGTGAGAGGAAAATATTCTTTCCATGTGCTTCTTCCATGACAAATTAGCTCATGATGAATCCCATCCTACAGTACAGTTTGTTAACAGTGCATGTGATTTTTTAAAAAACCTGTTTTTTCAGGCAGTTGGTTATGCTAATTAAAAATACAGATGTGAAGGATATATTCCTCTTAGCAGCTAACACAGGTGCATTCATGTACAAATGAATCGTTAAGTTGGTCTGCAGAATTCAGTCCGTGCTCTTACAGACGTCTCTCCATGCCTCTCATAACAGTCTTGGCTGTGGCAGTGGCTTACTTCACTTAGAGTAGATGAGCTGCTCTTGCAGACTTGTAGTCAAGTCCTCAAAGCAAAAAAACATGCCTCATCCCCTCAGCAGAATCTGAACCCTTTGCCCTTTTACTGGTGTTTTAAAGTGATACGTTGTTGATGATTGGTGTGTTTATTTCCTCTATTTTTTTCTGCCTTTCTCACTAAGTTAGGATTTTTTTTTTTTCCTAGTTGCTTTAGGAAGCTTATCAGTGGGTACGTATCTCTTCACAACCAGGTGCAGGAACAATAGTCGTTTCCAATCTGGATGATGACTTTGGGGGGGGTCCACGTGACTCATCGTGTGAAATTAATCAGTTGTGGGTTAGTCAATTTCATCTTGGATGCAATTGTAAATTGTATAGGATTTTTGGAGACAGAGATTACTAGGACTCTATTGATAAGCCATGCTTGCTCATACCAAGTTATTTTCAACTTTTGTATGAGTGCCAGTTCTCCAAAAGATTTTAACATCAGCATTAGCTGTGAGTTGGGGATGGTGGGAGGGGGGGGGGAATCTTAGCAGAGTTCTATTTGTATTAATAGTAATCCAAGCTGGTAGTAGATGCAGACAGCCAAAGCCTCTTAGGCTGAACACAGTAATACTGATATTGTAGCAAAACCTTGGTATACATGAATGTGTAATTGAGACAGATGATATCCTGGTTGAAAGCCATTCGTGAGATGTGTTAATGAACAGAACACCTTGTCATTCGGAAGAATAGTGGTTATTCTGGTTGTCCTGTCTCCAAAAGAAGAACAATTCATCTGTCTGAAAAGAAAGCCTGAAGTAATAATCCAAAATTCAACTGTGGTCCTCTCCCTTTCCTTTGTCTCCTGCCTCCAGAGGGGCTACCAAGTTTCATGGGGTGCTGTGAAGTTTAACTTTTCATGTGAAAAGGTAAATTGGTTCACTTTCAAATGGATGTACATTTCAAATGAGCCCAGCTGTTTGGCAGCAGTGTTGGGGGAGGGAAGCTGTGCAGGGAATTTGGTTTCTTGAGTTCAGTCACCAGTGCTTATTAAGCAGCTAAACTTCAGAGAGAGATGCTTCCTCCCATTCCCTCCAGCCCTAGTTCACAGCTTTTAAAATGTGGCTATAAAGTTTTTTAATTCTGAAAAAGTATCTCAGAAGCGAAGGATTCACTGCTCAGTCCCAATTCCTCTACTGTAAAAGAAAAGTATTCTGTAGTAGATGTTGGCATTTTAATGGAGGAAGGAAGGAAGGAAGGGAGGAAGGAAGGGAGGATTTCCATTAACTTCCTATTCAACTAAAATCTTTAGTATGTTTTAGAGGTGTGGAAGCTTGACAGTCTTTTCTTACAGGCATTCTCTGCAGTTCGTGTTTTGGTGCTTTCACTTAGTTCATTCATTTAATGGGTTACATTTTTGAGAGCAGCAGACCCTGATGAGTATCTTTCAGGTCTTGATAACGTGCTATGGTAACAAAAAGAAATACAACCCCCGGTTCCCAACCTGGGAATTCCTCCAAACATCTCAAATACAGTATTTTAGGGAGCAGTACAAACATATTAATAAAAAAACATGGACAAAGATAGCAAAAAGCCATATTTAAATTATTGTTTTGTTACGTTACTTCTGTACCCAAAGCTGTTTTAAGGCTCCTTTTGTGAAATGATACCATAAATCTTTAATAGCTAGAAATCAATTATAGTCCGGACTAGTGTGCTACTCTTGTACAAAACATCATTAGTAATCATTGCTTTCAAACATACCGATACCATTTTGTACTATCAGGTTGACAGCTTTGATGTGACCAGAGGATCATGCCTGGAGCTGAGATACTTTTGCAGTTAGGAAAGGAGCTACAGCATCTCAGGCAAACGCTGTTACAACCTCGCTGAAAAGTCATGGAAGTCGTATCTGTGTTCATTTAGTCCTTTTCATTCAGAAAGCTGTGTGTGGTTTTCCCTGGCCAGAAAAGGCGGTGTTTTGTTCTGATGAGAGCTGGACGAAAAGCCAGCCCGTGGAAGCAGAACGCCCCATGGCCGTGCAGCCAGGTCGTGCCCCAGCCAGGAGAACAGCTGGCATCTTGTCATGCTCTCCCATGGCAGGTGAGGGGGAATAAGCCAGACGGGCCCGAAATGCAGAGAGGAGAAGCAGTTGACCTGTGGGAATTGAAGCACCAGACAGTATTTACAGTCTGCTGCCTCCGGTCCTGCCCGCTCTCCCGGTTGTTCACCTCCACTTAAGGACGGGGCCAGGAGGGTTTGTTCAGGCTGTGGCAGGCGTGTGCCTTCCCGGCACAGATGGGGGACAACTCGCCCGTCCTCGTGGGTTGGCGTGGGAAGAGGGGACTTCTTTGTGATAGCGCATCTGGAATTCAGCTGGGTAGGTCTTGGGCAGAATTAAGGGGGTTTTTTTGCCATTTAGCATGGGGTAAGGGATACTGTTCCAAAACTCATCAGAGCTAGGAACGGGGTTTAGAGGGAGAAAATTTGGCAAGGGCAGTTGAGGCCAGCCATATCTGGTGAAGCAGGGAAGCAGCTCCCTTGATGCTATTCCCCTCTCAGGTTTGAACCCTTCCCCTTCAGAGCCTTACGAAAGACGGTGGCAGAATCTCAGCAGTACCTGCACGGAACTGGATGCTCCGATGGCAGGAACAATCAAAGAACACAGTATGGATTTATTGCTAGGTGGTGCTTCCAGATGACAATGAAGTCGCAGCCTAATTAAACCACAGCCCTTGTGTGTGTCTCTGTGGCTGGGACAATGGAGACTAGCTCTCGGTTTCATTCAAATGCTAGTGTAATCTGGCAGGCACATGATGTGCGTGCCTAAGTCGATAAACAGTGAAGGGAAATAGCAAGCTGCCATGAAGAGATGGAATCATGAGAAATATTATTTCAGTCATTGTATTCTGGACCTCAGGAGTGATTTTGGGACATAATGAACTATAGATGTGCATTGAAACCACTAATACTGCTGGAGTTAAAATCGAAGTGATGCTCACTTACAAAGCAAGCTTTTTTATTAAAGATGTAGTGTAAAAGGGAGGGAAAAGTACTGTTGCTGGCAGTTTTAAAAGTTTTATTTGGGGATCATCTAAGCTTAAATTGATTTGTTAATTATAAAACTTTGTGACTCATTAAATTAATCATGTTCAGAAAAGTAAAGTATTAATTTAACTTACTGTTAGCTGCAGGGGTGCCTTCACTCTGCACATTATTTACTTTTTGTTTAAGAGACTATTTTTTGCATTTGGTATTTACCTGTACAGAGTATGGAAACTGATGTTATATTCCTAGTGGTGCTGTTTGCATTATAATACTCATGAAGATATCTATTTTAAAACTTCTTAATAGCTCCTGCTTTTCAAAATACTAGGTCTGTTAATGGTTGCATTTTACTAAATTTTCCCAGGGTTATCTCAGTGGACTACTCCAAGTCTGGAATAGGTGCTTGTGAGTGTACCTTACACACGTTACTTCCAAATGTCCCATGAATTAATTGTAATATCTGTATTAATTTTAGCTGCAATAATGCTGTAAGTTTTTGTTGACATTCTGTGGTACGTGCTATTGTAGTAAAATGACACAGTACAGTTCCACATCGTGCTTGTGAAAATGATTTAACAGACTGAGTATATTTGTGTGCACAGCTGTTTAATATGGCGTATGAGTAATACGTAACCTGCTGGACTAAGGCCAAAGCCATGTACACTACGAACTGATTCCCTGCTTTATTTAGTTGCTTTCATAGTGACATTTGAACAGTTAGGAATGAAATAAATACTTTTCCTTTGTGTTTTCTTTTCAACAGGACACTACAAGTATAGAAAAAATGTCAAACTGTTGTGAAGACATGTAAGTGCTGTAAAATGTCTACATTTATTTGCTGCAAAGCTAAAGGAGTAGCTGCTTTTTTTTTTAACAGTGTGAGAGAGAAAAGGAACTGAAGGCACCGTTAGGATTATTTTGCACGGTACTGTGCCTTGTACTTCCCATCTCTAGCAGAGGCTCACTAATCTTTTAATATTGGTTGTACACAAAGTAGCCTCACATTGCTCCCGTTGCTTCCAAAGCCCATGGATCTGTATTTTCTTTCAAAAGTACAGATCAAAAGACACTTTCTGCTGTGTCTTGACATACATTTCATTGGGGTTCTCCTCTGCTTCAAAAGTTGCCTTCGGTTGATTGACGACACAGATAATTTCTGTTCTCCAAAGTTAAGTCTCAGCTGCGTGCCGTAATGAAAGAAAAGCTGTATTTGTGATGCTGGGACACAATTCATCAGAGTCCAGCAATGGATCCCCAGCCAACCTGCATTGTTCTAGCTGACTGAAGTGCACCATGGGCGTGCTGTCTTTCACTAATAATGCTGTCTTCTGTAGATCGAGGCCCCGAAAGCCATGGCAGCAGACCTTCTCAGAAGTTTTTGGCACTCACTGGAAGATCCTGTGGTTCATTCCTTTCAGGCAGAGGCAACCACTGCGAGTTCCCTACCACTTTGCCAATCACGTTTGAACAGATGGATGGTGGGCACAGATGGGTCCTCCATGCTGGAAGTGCGTTACAGGTTTTATGATAATAGGACTATGACAGTCTTCGAGTCAATTAAAATCCACCCACCAATCGTAGGCATCACAATGTGCCCCAGGCTTTATTTTAATAGTGATCTTGATTCTGTTTTGAGATTAATACAACTTGTGTGTTTAAGTTCAGGCGTATTTGCTTTCAAATTAGCTTTCCAAAGGGATTTCTTTTGTCTTTGAGGTTAATACCAAAACCAAGTGACTAGAATGCAGTCTTACTCTATTTGTTTGATACTGGCTCTTTTGATATTTTTTTTTGTGGTAGGCAACACTGAAGTTTACATTGATTTGTTAGATTTTGCATTGATTTGTTACATTTCCCACTAAGTGTCTTCTTCTTCTGCCTTTAATTTTTATTAGTGTTTTTATCAGTTTTTATCAGGTCTTATCTGTCTAGATAATACTCATGACTTTCTTCTGCTACCTGTGTTTAAAATTCCCCGATACTGCCATTTATTTATGATATGCAATAGTAATCCTTCAGCACCATACTATAAAAGGTAACATTTAAAACTGAGGCAGACTTCTTCCTAAACCTTTCTCAAGAGAGGCTTTTAGAAATACACAAAAATGTATGTGTTTATCTAGAAAGATCTTACGTCGTACAGTGATCTTTCTGCATAGATATGACCTTAGTGAAAAATGTCTTTATGTCAACAAAAGTGATAAAATGTTCCAGGGTAAAATGTGCAGATAGAAAGCATGTTTTCCCTTTATCGCAAGGATTTCTTTGCAATAAGTCAGCAAAGGAGTTGTATGGTGCAAATACTAGAATAATTACTTTTCAAAAGTACAAATTTAATTAGTTAGCATAATGTACCATAAAGAAGAGTATATTGTCAATAAAGTTATAAATTTTGTATTTACTTTTTTTTTGGTTGCAATTAGCTGGAATCGGTCTGAGTGTTTGTATATGGGAAATCTATGTGAAAATATTTTAAAATATATATACATAAATGCAGATATTTGCTACTAACATGTATAGTAAAGTATATGAATTGATTTAATAGGGTACTGTGTTGATGTACCATAGCTTCTTACGGGCCCTGTAAGTATGGAAGTAGTTAACCAAAGAAAGCACCCTTAAGATTACATCTGGTGAAATAACAATTCCGAAATCACTGGCGCAGCTTTGCTGTATCTGGAAAAATTACGTGATTTATTACAGCCTTCTGTATCTATACAAGTATCAGCATGAGATGCTTGTGAATTTTTAAAGTTCTGTGAATTTTTATGAGAAATTCACAGCTTCATTGTTTCCAGTTAATTCTGTGTTTGTTTGGTCTAACAGGACTGGGATCCACCTTAAATGACAGCCATGCAACAGGGTAATAAGAGGCACGAAAATCAGGATGTACTATGCGTAGGCTGTGTTTGGAGACAGTAATTGATTGTGAACAGTTCATTTGAAAAGAAGGTTTAGGTTTGTCGTGAGTGGTATTCATAAGAAGTTTTTAGGTCCATTCTTTTTTTAAAATCGTCACACAGTCACTGCCAATGTCGGGTGTCCCTTTACTGAATTAACAGATTTCAATGATCCACTGAAAGTTCCAAAAGGTGCATCTTAAAAAATCACCCGAATTTTAAACTTTTGTAAACTTCCAGCATATGAACCAACTTTACTTACCCTATCCTTTTAAAAATAGATGGAATATTTTCTTCATTTAAATGTCAGGCCTAATGTTTGACCATTTTTTTTCACGGCACTTTTAAGATGGCCTTGGCAGCAATATTTAAACAAAAGAAAGCTTGAGGGAAGTGGATGGGAAGGCTGGAGCAGTGCTTGAAATTAAAAAGAATGTGCATATATAAAGTAATGGCTGTAGTCTCCTTTTTTTTTTTTTTCCCGAGGAATTCCACTATTACAGCCTCTCTGAAACACATAGGGGAGTAACAGCAGTTTTGTTTTACGTGCCAATATGTAAATCCGTTTCATGAGCAAAAACATAGTCATTTTTTGGAAGTTTTTCATGCTAAATCAGTTATCACAGTTAGCAGATCAGACAGTGATGAAGCTTATTAAGACCGAGGATGGAAAATTTAACTATTGTTGACACATTAGCCGTGGGGGTACGTTATTGTTCTGATGTCATCATTTCAGTTTAACTGGGCGGCGACGAACCGAATCCGTAATGCGGAATCTGCTCCAGGGTCGGAACCTCAGTTGCACGCAGGGTATTTGCTTTTTGTACACGATGTACAGCGACGTAACGGGGCCATTAAATGTTGCCTGCTTTGTGGGGATTAAAAACCCACGGGCGGCCCGGGTGTCACGTCGTGTGCAACATTCCCGTCTTCTCGGCCGGAAGGAGCGTGCTGCGCGTACGACGCCAGCGCCGGTAACGTCACAGGAGGGGGTGAACCGCGCTCCCAGGGCGCTGCAGGCCGTGGGTGCAGACGCCCGCGGTTTGCCGGGGCCGCGGGTGGGAGGTCCCCT